ATACAGCATGACTTAAGCTACTATAGAAAAATAATAAAAGTCGCATACATTCCATGCAGTTTTTTCCACAACCAAATTTTCTAAGGCTTATAAAAAAGTACTACTGACCACTATTAAGTACAACCTCTACATAAAATGGCAGTTACTATAATAAGCACCACCCACATTCATATTGTAAAATCCAGAGAACAGCGTTTTGTCACGTGCTTTGCTTATCATCGTATGATTTGTCAAATGTGAAATACAGTGATTGGAATAAAATAGTATTGAAATTGACACCTTCAACTAGAATTGGCTAAAAGTTTTACAATCGAAGTTTAACATGTCCAGATGCTGTTTTATAAAGAAAACAGACTAGAAAAAGGTTTAGATACCAATCATAGATGGCAGAACCAGTGTTAAAGTGCATGGAAAAAAGTTTTAAAAAATGTTGTCCTTAGAGGGTGCTTATTTATAGTCTCAAATGTATTTTGGGATTTTATTAAATTTTTCTTCAAACTTCATTAAACAATAGAATTTTGTACACATAATTGAATGTTATGCCACTATTTACAAAAATAAAAGATAAGTTCTCTATAATTTTTTCAATTCACAAATGTGATTTTGCCCTCACAATAAGACAAAATGGCCCCCCCATAGATAAGGGGTTAAGTAAAGGTTACTAAAATCAAAAGCTTTTATTATATTAGCCTTAAAGTCTTTAATTTGTTCTTCATACTCAATTGAATTAATTATATTCAATGGGTTAATAAAAGTTATTTTTGATAATATTACAGTATTTGTTTAAATGATCCTTAATGTATTTCAGACCATTACCTACTAGAATTGACCAACCTTCAGCTACATCATCAGCAATAAACCTGTATGGTGTTTTATGTAGTTTGGAAATCCTAAATAATTTACGTATTACATCATTGGATTCTGAGGTAAGCACACCAAAGTCTGAAAGACTGTATGGTGTTTCTGTATGATACTGTTTCTATCTGCATTGATGTATTTACATACCCCATTACCTGAGTGTCTTTGAATTAAATCCTAGTTTTTCATATAAAGTTGTAATATAAAACGTTTTACAGATTAAAACATCAGTTACAATGTGTTTAATAAGAAAATAAATGTAAGAAGGTGAATTACATTTCCAGTGAGATAATAAAATATCAAACATTACTGTAATAAAAAATTATAAGCCAGTAACCCTCCTGCAGGAGTTTCTAAAAGTATAATTTAACTAACTCAATACTTCTGTCAATATACAAAAATATATGATATACCTTATCTTTATATTCATTATCACTTGTTTAGGTGTAACTGATGACAAATAGCAAGTAACAGCTGGTATACATTGCTCAAACCTCATGACACATGTATTCATGTTCGATTGAATAAATGTATATTTTTTTACCCGATAATCCTCGTAAGGTAACCTCTGAGACCTTTATCAGGATAAACACCTACTAGCAAAGTATCATACACTTTGACCGCATTTGTTTTGGCAGCCTTAAATAATATTACATTCATTCTGAAGTCAACTGTTTAGCAGTTTTTATCTAATAATCTTCTCTTTTACACCAGTTCTGAACTTAAACCTTTTAACATTCACATTTTATGAATTCTTGGGCTGTATGAAAATATTTTCACTAGTATGTTCAAAAGAGTTAAGGTGTTTATAGAGGAAACTTGAGTATTTCTTTTTGTTAGAGAACCCATGACCATTCATTCTACCTCTCAAACTTTTGTGAGGATTTGCCTACATATTGAATTCTGCATTGTCTGCAGCTAACCATGTAAACAACACGTTAAGTACCACAGTGCAATTCTCAATAATTATCAATTACTGTAAATTTTTTTTTGCAACGTAACTATTGAATGTGTTGTTACATATGTGGTTAGAAGCAACACAATCTCTATGAGAACATTTTTCAACTACCGAATCATTTACAACAGTTATGAATATGAAGATATAGACTACCTTTAGAACCAGTCATATTACCAGTGTCAGACTCTGGGTTACCTTTATTAATCTGAGTACTGGGACATGCTAACACTTTTCATAGTCATTATGGTACCTGAATAAACTATGTGGGCCTTATTTGACTGGGTAACACCCATTATTTTTGTAAGCTTTTAATGAAACACCTGGTAATTTTGGCTAACTATATGTGTTTCATTTAAAATAATAAATGGAAACCTCCTATAGAAGCATACAGTGTAAATGCATTCTTTATGTAGAAGTACTATTTCTCATGTTAAACACTGCCAGGCCATAGAAGTTGACTGCATACTAAATCATGTTAGTATAAACTTTACTGTTAGAGATTTATACTATTAAACACTATAACAATGTGCATGTATTCATAACAAGAACATTTTACTGACTATATTGTTACAAGACTGCACAATTACAAATCGGAAAAAAACAAGTATTAACCACACACGTCACAAACCAGAAACTAACTTAACATTTCAGAATAATACTCAAAATTACACAGGATTAACTGATGAATGTGT